GCTGCCGCCGGGGCCGAGTGCATGATTTGCTGCCTGCCAGCTGCCTGGACCCCTCTCCCACCTGCCCCCTGCTCCCAGCAGCTCCTGTCCCTGCTCCCCATCAGCTGCCACCTCTCTCTCTCCCAGTCCCTCTCAATTCCTTCTCTCCCTCCATCTGTAGGCCATGGTTGCCATCAAACTTCTCACTTTGCTCCTGCAAGGCCTCATCGTGTACCCACAGACAGTCATACCTGGGCTGGATGAGGCCACACGTGAGCGCATGCGGCAGCACCAGGAGTTCCTGAGCTGGGAGATGAGTCGGCTGATGGAGGAGCTGGAGCAGAGCAGCTCTGCCTGGGGAGACCTGGGCTTTTCTGCCTTGCAGCAGTGGCAGTTCTGGGCCATTGCTGCAGTCCTGCTCCTGCTCCTGGGGCTCTGCTGGAGGCTCTGGAAATGGAGCCGTGAGCTCAAGAGCCGCAGCAATGAGGAGAGCTCCAGCGGCAGTAGAGTGCAGGAGGGCAAACAGGAGCTGGACGAAAAAGAGAAGCTGGAAGAGGAAGCAAGTGAAGGAGAAAATCTTGCTAATGAGAAGCACCTGAAAAGCACTTTTGTAGAGCGCATCGAATGGCCCATGCAGAAGCTGGCTGATGGGAGCTGTGAGGTGGAGGAGCTAGTGGGTGAACTCATCCGTGTCTTCCAAGAGCTCTTGTCCTGCAGTTTCTTCCCACGGCTGGAGCCAGAGATCGGGGTGGGCCGACGCTGAGCCCAGCGTTGGGGTGGGGCAGCCCTTTCGAAGGTTGGGCCCCCCACAAGGGTGATGCTCTTGTTTCCCGCCTGCTCCTGCCCCTGAAGCCCCCTTCTGGGCACACCTTCCACCTGGAGCCGGGCAAGAAGGAGGGGAAGCCAGAGAGGAACTTCTGCATCCTCGTGGAGCTGGAGTGCACCTGCACGAGGGAAGAGTGTAGGGAGAACATGCTGTGCTTCCTCCACAGTGCCAAGGGGAAGCTGAGGAGAAATCAGGGTCCCAGCCTTCTAGACATTCTCTGCACCGACTCCCACCTAGATGTGCACAGAACCACCAAATGGTTCCAGAGGTTTGTGAGCTCAGCCTGGGGCATGGTGCCTCAGACATGTGCCTACAATATGAAGCTGCTGCCCTCCATCTGCTCCTGCAAGCTGCAGCTGACAAATGCCTCTGGGAGAACCCTCTTTGTGGAGCTGATATTTGGTGTTTAGCAAGGCAACTCGGACGTCTTCTTGACCAGCCATGCCTGACCAGCCAGGCCACAGAGGACACCTTCACCCATGGCACGATATGGCCAGAGAGCTATGCTGTGGCAGAGGTGAAGTTCTTCAGGCTCATGGCCAGGTGGGTCCCACAGGGCAGTTTACACCTCAAATGCCTGCACCTCTTCGCCTGCAGTCTGGTGGGCACCGGCTTTGATACCTACACCTTCAAGACAGTTGTGATGCATGTCCTGAACACCACAGCCCCATCAGCCTGGTCCAGGAGGGATTTCCTGTCATGGTTGGAGGATATCATGTTGAAATACCGCTGCTGCATGGAATTCACATGCCTCAACCACTTCTTCTTTGCCAGTGGGATGGTGCCCAAGGAGATAATCTTGCCCCCAGACTTTCTAATGGCCCAGCCACTCAACCTCTTTGAGTACCTGGAGCAGGATCCGGTTGCCCATGCCAAGGCACTAGAGGATCTGGAGCTGATGCAAGGTCAGCTCTTAAGACTGCTCTTTACTAGTCACTTAAAGAGATTGCCCTGGTTCGGCTGGGATCGGTTTTGTTTTCATGGGAAGCTGGGTGGGAGCTACAGGCGGCGCAGAC